AATCAATCAGTCCATCCAATCAACGAATCGAATCGAATCGTTGATTGAATCGAATTGACATGAAAATTTGAATCAAACAATGAATCGAATCGACTCATTGATCGAATCGAATGTAGATCAAGATTCGATTAAAAAAATTGGTATTTTTCCCCCAGTGATCTTCTTTTTTATAGAGTGATCACTATTGGATAATTTTTCTGAGGTATTCAATATGATGTGAGGCACTTAATGTATTGTCTGTCCTGAATTTTGTTTGTGTGCCAGGATTTTCCATCTGCGAATTGCGTGAAATTGATCAAAGCTACAACACAAAACACACATCTTGCACGGACTGCAATATCAAATACCCGCAATTACGGAACAGTTCCTGAACTGGACGTTATTTTCGAGAAATTGGCTGCGCTTGGTTTGGGAAGATATGATCGAGATCAGTAAGGCATCGAAAACTTCTTTAGTCCTCAAGCCTTGTTTGAATATCGATTCCCCTCTCGCAGCCTAATCTCCTGTATTCTTCCTTATTTTAATGTCTTAGAATTACCAGTTCCAACGGAATGGCAATGTCGTTTTTTTAATGACTTTTTTTGCATTTGGATTCCAAGTTGCAACCTTATTTGGTCTTTGCATGAGCGGCCTGCTCGAGAAAACAAGGAGACCACAGGTTGCCCAGTTCGTAGCCTGCGCCTAAAATTAAAAATTTCAAAATAATTTATTGCGGACTCTTTGAAACGTCCAAACCCACGCCCAGGTATAAGTTGAGTGACCAGGCGCCTAGAAAACAGCTTAGTAAGATTATAAGAAAACAGAAAAATCATGATACATTTTTGCACTGACGAATTTTTGAAACCAACAGTGTCTGCATAGGTATGTCAGCAAAAGGAACAGCAGCAGGAGTATCAACTGCTACACTGGTTGCAGCAGGTCGAACATCTGCATCGCCTGCAACTGCTGTAGCAGTTGCAGCAGCTATATCAGTTGAGCAGGCACTTCCACGCTGCAGGACATACTTCGGATGCAAGTTCTGCAGCTGCTGCATCACATGCTGCAGTTGTAGCAGACGAAAGTAGGAGGAAATTCAGTGGGGGAGAAGAGGGATAAAGGGGAGGAAGTGCGAAACCCAGAATGACCACACCCACAGACACACACACACACACACAAAGAGAGAGAGAGAGAGAGAGAGAGAGAGAGAGAGAGAGAGAGAGAGAGAGAGAGAGAGAGAGAGAGAGAGG